GAGGGCAAGCAAAACTAAGGGACATCTGAATCCCAAAGGATTTGGAAGCATCTGAAGCCCCGGGCAGGGGTGAAGGATACTTGCTGGTAGCAAGGTTACGTATGGTTCTTGAATGACTCATGAATTTGAAATCTATTTGGCTGACTTGACTTGGGACACGACATTTTTTTTTCTTTAAAAAAAAAAAAAAAAATGTTTGCCCAATAGTGGGCCATGTGTTTCATTGTCATGCTCAATGTTGGCTGCATGCAATCAGCTTTGTATTTGCTTTCCATTTACTGAGCTGAGCACATGCTACTTTTGGCAGTAGCTTAATGATAGACAGTGTATTTAATGAGGTTTCCTTGTATGTGATTATAAGTTGAGGAGCTTTTTTCCAAATTCTGATTGGAGGGTGGACAGATACCTCGTTTTGTATTCAAGTGAATATAGTAGATCCCCGCCAGTGATCCAGCAGCATGCACAGACTGAGGGAACCCAAGGTGTCATAGCTGGCAATGGAACAATTAAGTGCTACCCGGGGTGGATAGCAAGATTAGGCTGCTCCTTGTTCGTTGTCCTGTATGTAATGGGTAAACCTCCAAAGCCTACATGAATACTAGTGTCTGGAAACCAGATGAATACAAGTTACGGGTTCTCTACTTCTGCTGTTCTGTGTAAAGATTTCTATACTATTTGCAGTTCATGTTGCATAGAAAGGATTTCTGCCTCATAGAAAAGTTGTAAAACTCCAGAAGATTGCTGAGTAGGCAAGGAGGGTGCTGTTGTGTATGTGTGTTTGGTTGGGGTTTTTTTTTGAGGAGCTTACATTTTGACTTCAGTTTACAGAAGTACTAATATTGGTTGCTTTCTTTCAGATCATGGAACTCTGTGGTGCAACAAGACTTGGATATTTTGGGAGAAGTCAGTTCTATATTGCTTTGAAACTTGTTGCTGTGGCCCAGTCTGGTCTCCCTCTAAGAGTGGAAAGCTTAAATACAGGTACATCTAAAAATTAATATCTAAACATCCTTTGGAGTAAGTATATTAAGACTTGTTGCAGTTGGCTTGCACCTTTCCAAAAGATAATGTAAACTATTAGGGTATGCCCATTATGCACAGTTGTTCACTTTTTTGCATACATGAAAATCTGAAGAAATTGGTACCTTAAATTAAATTTAAATTTTTAGTTTAGCTCTATTTATAAAAGAGACAGTCTGGGGGCATGAAGTCCTCAAATATTTCTTTTCTAAACTAATCCAAACAAATGGTACTACAAGGTATAACGTTTAAGAATGAATCCATGTGCAAATTCACCCTGTGGTGTAGGTGTTGCATGCTGCACTATTTTTTTTTCTAGGTGTAATGGTAAATGGCATTGATATTAAGCTTCTAATACTGGCATGTCAATATTTGACCTTTTTTAAAATATAAAAACTGTTTGGGGCCACTTGGAATGGCAACTTTAGCTTCCAGCACCAAGTGGGCAGCCACAGATGTTGTGTTGACTGAGTCTTCAGACTGCAGCAGCAGCTGCGCCCAAATGAATTGAAACCTTAATTTTTTTGCAAAGTCCAATAGCACTAATATTTCAGGAGGAGACAAGATGGTGCCTGGTTTTCTAGATGCAAAGATAAAAGATGAACTGATATCAAAGCTTTTGACATAACTCAGGGCTTTCTGAATTGTTTTAAATTGCTAGTGCTGTGTATAAATAGTTAAACTTGACTCATCTAGATGAGTGTATCAACATAGATTTAGTTAAAGAGAATGCTGTATTAAGTCTGCAAACAAGTATCATTTGGGAACGGTGGCAAAATGTGACCCTGAAATTGGGTATAGAGAATCTGTTCATTCTTTCAAATATAAGTATGCAGTCTGCTTAGAATATGCAGAAGGTAATCTGGTAGAGTATCATGTAGACCTCAAGTCTGTTAACACAGGAAAAATCAATAGGACTGATACGAATTTGTGGGGTAGGAGGTGCTGGAGACGATGGCATTAATAGAGAGTTGTGTAATTATTCATAGCTAGCTAAACCAATACCCATCAGGGTGGATAAAAACTGCCAATTGTTTTTAAAAACAAAAAAATCAGATTTTTTAAATTGAAATCAGATTTTTTTTATTTAATTGTATTTTTATTTTTTCAGATGCTTTTAAAGATATACCTATAAAAAGATGGTCTTAATTTAAGATATGTTAGAGCTCAAAGGGATCATTGTGGAATGGGGATTATAACATCTAATTATATACTATTTAAGACCATATATTCATGTAACCTTTTCAGAAATGTTTTATAAATGGGTCACAACAGGCCATGGACCTATAGGGGGCCAATCTTAGGGGGTTCTCAGGGGCTCCTTTATAGATTAGTAAAGATTAAAGAAAACCCAGTGGGACTCAGTGCTCAGTCTAGAAGATCCTGTTAAGCATCTCTGTGATACCTAGTTTCAGTTATCAAACTATGGATTTTTTTCCAGAGATAACATCCTTGTTAACAGCAGTATATGGCAGTGAAAGATAACAGACCTGATTACCTACCCATCAGCCATGTTGTCTCTCTGCAAGTTTATGTACATGGAGTCAAGCTCTTAACTCCTTCTAAAAGTAAAAAGTTTCAAGTAATTAAATGAATAGAGGATCGTTGGGGGTGGAGTAGATCTGGGCAAGGAGGAAGAGTCTGGAGATAAATGCCAAGAGAGAGGGGCAGGAGAAACAAAACAGAAACATTTTGAGCAGAATATTCCAGAAGTCTTGCGGGATAAGTTTCTGAGTATAGCTTCTACATTGATTTGAGATCTAGTGAGGGAATGGTATGGTAGAAGGGAAAACCTATCATGGCAGCAGGCTGTAAGAGACCCTGTTTGGTAATATTTTAATGAAGGTTATATCAAACAAGAATGCACTTTTTGTAGAAAACAATTAAATAGAGGCTTTCTGACCAGGGATTTAAATTGTGATTTAAATCATGATTTAAATTGATTTTGATTTAAATCAAGCCTACCCTGATACCCATGGTCAGCAATAGCTCTGAGAAACTATTTGGGGAGGCAGGGGGGGGGGGGCTTTCTTTGAACAAGCATGCTCTTAATCTCCATTTACAAAATCTTGAACAAGAGCCCAGAATAAACCCATTTCCTCCTGGAAATCTTTACGTCACTTCACTGATACCACAACTGCAGGCATGGTTTTTTTTGCTAAATCTGTGGTGTTCCCAAACACCACACAACAAATGCAACAGATGTGAAATTGAACAAGCTACCAGTTGATGTAATCATTTAGACTAGTAGTTCTCAGCTGGGTTGCCATGGCATTCTGGGGTGTCACAAGGCACTTTCAGGAGTGCTGCAGTGAAGACCCTGCCATTGCCCCAGCCAAGTGGAACAGCCTTGCATGCCTCATGCACTGCCTCATAACTCCTAAAACAGTCAGAAGTGCTTGGTCCTGCCATAGCCCTTCATGATCCAACTTCCCCACCTTTCTCTCAGAAATGTGCATGGAACAGGTGGAAAAAGGTGCATGGGGAAAGTGGAATTGTCCCATGCATCTCTTCCCATGAGGAGCATGGAGGGTCTAGACCAGGAAGCTCTGCAAACTCCATACCATGTAATACCATTTGTTTTGGATTAGTTTAGAAAAGAAATCTTTAAAGGCTCCATGTCCCTGGACTGTCTCTTTTATCAATAGAACAGAGTTAAATCTAAAAACTTAAATTTAATTTAAAGTACCCCAACTTCTTCAGATTCTTATGTATGAAAAAAAAAGAATGATTGTGCATAAAGGGCATTAATAGTTTACATTATCTTTTAGAAAGATGCAGCTTCCTTGCTTGTCTGCTTCAGGCTTATCTGGCTGTGCATGAGGCATGTAGGGCAATTCCATCTGATTGGGGTGGTGGCAGCACCTTGGTTGAGAACCACTGATGTAAGCTGAGGCAGCACAATACCGATGCTCAACTAGGGTGCCACCAAATTAAAAAAGGGTTACAGAGGGCTTCCCTGAATCTAAAATGGTTGAGAACACATAGGCTTGATAATAGAGAAACTAGAACAGCAGCCCAGGGAAAGAGGGCTACAGTTGGGAGACAAAACCATAGTAGATCCACACACCACTCTTGCATAGATACAGTCTTCCATTTTTCCTCCCCCTGCAGGATTGGCATACCCCTGGACCTCAACCAAGGGAGATTTTTCCCAGAGTTACCCTTAGTCATATCTAATACCCTGCATCTTGTGGCTATGAGAGAATCCTGGGTCTGTGCTGTAGACATTTTTGTGTCACTAGTGTCTCTGGGGAACCTTAGGGCATGGAAGAGTGGTGTCTTTTTTTCCATGGGGAATAAACTGGGTAACTTTGTCACTGTGGCTGATCCTTCAGTCAAGCTGTATGATCCCTCTCTGGATCACTGGAAAGAAATCTGTCACCGTAGACAGATTTCAGTGCAAAGATATAGACATCTGTCTAACCCAAGCGCTGCTTTCCCAGAAATAACTCTTTCCTTGTCCTTTTCTCCCCTTTTATTCCTCATGCTGATTATCCCTAGTGACAGGACATGCTATTGTCCCGTATTGGGTGATGCCTACATGGATCTGCACTTTATTTAGTTAACATGTATCTCAGACTTTCACCCGTTTGTGGTCAAGAGTAATGTTTAGACCTTCTGGAATGGGACAGAAACAGGGAGCGGCAGATCTTTCGAAGTATAGAGAGAGGGGTTATGGATTGCTTGTAGGAACATCTCTGTTTAGGCAGGTCCAAATAATATGGATTTTTATCTACAATTTCTCATTGCAAGAATGGCTTCTCCTAGGGCTTCTAGCCACGAGGTATTGTCACATAGATAACTGAGGCCTTAGGCTTTCAGCCATAAAGTACTCACTTTTTTTATGTCAGTTGTGTGTTCCTTCCTCTACTAGAGATCCAGGACACTTGCATCTGCATCAAACATGGGTTTCTGCACACCTAACAATAACTGGCATGTGTATATTTATACCCATCTGATCCAGTAATGTCACTGACATTTGCCTACTTTAAAAAAACAAAGAAGATATACTTGCAGCCACATCTTGTTTAGTTGCCTGACAAAGTAGTGTTAAAAGTTATTATGTAGTCAGTAGCTCAAAGCAGGAGAAGCTGCCTGCCACCTGCATTTCTCAGTTAAAGAGACAGAGGTGATAGTTCAGAGGTCCTGATGAGTCCAGGGGCTTGAGGGCTCTGCCTGAGCATGACAGACCAAATTAACAGTGGGAGGTCGTTCTTGGGGCACTGAGGATAAATAAATATGTTGCTAGGAGAGCAGGTCAAAGTCAGTTTGCAGATTGCATGCTGTGAAGGAGGGCCTTTTCAGGGTGAGTTGTGGATTGTAACTGTTATGATACTGAAAGGGTAGTGGCCTCCAAATGAACAGCTCCTTTGGAAGTTGGAGGATCCAGATATTGAAAGGTGCGTCCACAGCACTTATAAATCCAAAAAGCACCTGTTGTCTTTTGCTACACATGCACAGTTAGTTGTCCATAGGGGTGTGCGGAGCCTGGGGCGGGGATGTGAGGGGGTGGCATGGGTTTCTTCTTGTAATGGTTTTAAGCGAAAACATGAAACTTCTCACTGTTAATGCATACCAGGCATATTCAGAATAATATTCAGATATTTCTAAACTAGCTTATTAGTAGAGCTGCACCAATATATCAGTACCCTATTGGATCAGCACTGATCAAAGGAAAATTAACATTATCAGCTATCAGGTTGATAATGTATTGATAAATGCAATAAGCCTTATGGCCAGGGCCCCCAGATGCCATGTGCATGAATGCAGCTGCAGGTGGCCAGGAATGCAGCCCAGCAGTGTGCAGAGCAGCACCCTGCAGGTAAGTCTGTGAAGGGGTGTGTGGTGGGGTGCAGATTGAGGCCCCTATGTTGAGGGAATGGGGCTGGGGATGCTGCCCAGCCAGGGTAGTGAATGGGACCCCGGGGCCAGAGCAAGACAGAGCTGTGGGTGGCACA